ACACACACACAGAGAAAAAGAGAGAGAAAGACAGAAAACTTTTAAAGCTGTACCTGATGAAGAAGGAAAATTATCCTAGAGGGATCAGAGAGGGGTGCAAAAGAAGCTCTCCTGGCTCTAATTCCAGAAATTCTCAACATGAATCACTTATTTGTGAAGATGTTGGCAATAGCTGTTAATATGTGAATGCATAACTTGGGAGGGACCGTCTATTAAACTGGGCCAATAGCATTGTTCCATTTCTCAAGGCAATGAGAAACTTTGTGAGAGAATGACTGGTGCAACTGGACATCATGGGAAAGCACTGATTATCCTGAGAAAGGAAAGGACTTGGACTTAAGGTTCTAGATTTCCCAACAGACTTTCTCCTGGAAGGGACATCTGGTTGATACTGTGATGGGTCTCCCATATGCTCCTACACTGACGGATATGCTGCCTTCCTATTGGGGACCACTGTTGGCAGAGAATCTTCAGTTATCTCCCCAGCCACCACCACCCTTTCAGGAATTTCATGGGTCCATTATCATGCCCCTCCCAGGGCTGCTCACGCATGCTGATGACCCGTATTGCCTTGTTGTTGTTTAGTCGCTAAGTCGTGTCTGACTCTTTGCAACCCCTTGAACTGCAGCATGCCAGGCTTCCCTGTCCTTTGCTATTTCCCAGAGTTTGCTCAAACTCATGCCCGTTCAGTCGGTGATGCCATCCAACCATCTCATCCTCTGTTGTCCCCTTCTCCTCCTGCCCTCAGTCTTTTCCAGCATCATGGTCCAGCATCATCCAGTAAGTCCACTCTTTGCATCAGGTGGCCAAAATATCAGAGCTTCAGCTTCATTATCAGCATCTTGCCTCGTTCAGGGCAATTGTTATGGGCACTGGCCAAGATTGGCATTGGGCCTGCACTCTCTCTTGGACCTCTCTCTCTCTCTTCCCAGTCTTGCTCTCTTCCCTTCAACAAGAGTTGGTCCCTAGAGTATTTTTGCACGGGGTATTCAGAGTTTCCTTCCTAGGGGACCAAATTTGCAGTACGGCTCAAGTACAGGGAAAAGAAAATATATGTGGAAGCCATTTCTTCCAAAGGAAAGATCAAAGCTCTTGACATTTCTGTTAGGGTACAATGCAGATGAAACCTCCCCTTCAGAGGTGCTATAACCCTTCAAAGAAGTGTAACAGGCTTTTAGAAAGGTTCTTTAAGTCAAAAGTCATTTGTCCTCATTCTTAGGCAAAGGTAGCTAAGCTAGCAGTGCCAGTTCCTGTAACGGGAGAGGGAAAGAGGCTGCCTCTGCTCACATCAGTCGATGATGTTAAGCTGGTTCTTCCTCAAAATTGTGCTGTGTGATTCTGCCTCTGTAGCTGTACTTGAGATAAAAATAATCCCCAACCCTTCTCCCAATTTTCCAAAAGCTGAAGCTATTCTGAGGTTAAGTGTTTCTGATTTGTGTCATACCATCTCCCATAAACAAGGCCAAGAATACAAGCTCCCAATTCTCAACATTGTTTTATGAAGGAATTAATGATACCTACTGAGGGTTTAGGCTGTCTCATCAGCCCCAAAGACCTAGCCTCTCTTGTTTACAACACAGTTCTAAGTGTACTTTTATTACGAAGGATAAGGCAGCTATTTTTCCCTTTAAAAGGTAATATTTTTCCCAGAAAGGAGTGGGCAAAACTGGGCTTAGGTACAATGTTCTGAATGTTTACATCTCCCTCAAATTTGTATGTTGAAACCCCAAACTCCAATGTGATGTTTTAGGAGGTGGGACTTTTGGGAGGTAATTAGGTCATTAAGGTGATACCTTCTTAAATGGGGTTAGTGCCTTCACAGAGGGGACCCCAGAGAGCTCTCTCACCCTCTTTCTGCCATGTGAGGCTATAAGAAATAGGTGGTAGAAAGACAGGTGGAAGGAAGTTTTCTCACTATATAAATTTTTTGTACATTTTGAATTTTGACCCATGGGGATAAATAACCTATATTTAAAATGAATAATGATGTCCCATTAGATCCAACTTAAAACTTCAATTGTATACCTAGTTCAAAGCTTCCTCCCCCTTCCAGGTCTGGCATGAACTATGGACCCGCAATCTGCAGCTAGATGGAGTAAGGTCTCTTTTCTTCTCTATTTACTCCTCCCCCCTTCACTCCCTTGCTCTTGGCCTGCAGGGGTGGGGTGCAGTTTAGATAAAATCTCTTTGAATGTGCTGTTTGTGGTTCTCTCCTGATGGTCCACATGCTCCAGGTTTCTGGCTCTTTGTGGATTTTTCAGTAATTCCTCTCCTCCTTCCCTGACTAGTGAATTCCATCTGGACAGCATCCTGATGTGAGTTTTATGCTCTTTGGCTGAACTCTGATAACTCCCTCTGCACCCTCTTGCTCCTGGGGGTGGAGAGAGGGGAGTCTTCCATGGTCTTTTATCCTAAGGTTCGTTGTTCCAGTAGATCCTCTTAGGGGGAAGCTAGCTTTCTTTCCCAATGTCCATTTTACTGATGGGACTATTATGCATTTTGCCACACCAAATACTTCCCTGCCTGCCAACGAGGGCCGCTCCAGCTGGCCTCCTGTCTGGAATTCTCCAATCAGGAAGCAGACATTAGTCTCTAGGTTAGTCTCAACCAAACTCAAGTTTTCCTGAGCATTCTTTGACCAGATCTACTCTAAGGCACTGTAAAGGGTGCCAGAATTTCTGCCTTGGATTTAATCTCATATTTTTGTCAGTTGGCTTGTTAGGAGCCCTCTCCCACTAATTTGCCTGTGAGTGGGAGAGAAAAAAAAAAACAAACACATCAAACTGACAACTCATGACTCAGAAGAATTCCCTCACTGAAGGAATCCCTGTCTTTTGCTTATTGGAGCTGCTGGACAGTGACAGTGAAAATCCAAAGACAAGTTTGGCCACCTCTTATTGAAGTCAGGAGAGAGGTAGCCTCTAGGCTCCCCTTCTTAGAATGTGGAGATATTTATGACTTGTTGCCAAATGGAAATGTCCTGTTCCACATCCAGTTACTAGTATTAGTAAAAACCTCACAAATATCATCCTTACCATGTGAAGAAGAAAGTTTCTATTTTTAATAACTACCATTTATTGAAGGGTTCAGTTCAGTTCAGTTTAGTCACTCAGTCGTGTCTGACTCTTTGCGACCTCGTGAATCGAGGTTTACAAGGTACTAAAAACTTTACATGCTAATACATTAACTGCTCATAACCCTATGATGAGTTAGGGAGTTTCATCCCCTTCTTGGTGAGAAAACCTGAGACCCAGAGGTCATATAGTCAGTGGCAGAGTTGGAATTTGAATCCAGATCTGTCTGACTCCAAAATCAATCTGCATACAAAGATAAACGGTATAGATCGTGTCTAGTGCAGTAGCCTCTCATTAATGAGCTGTGGACTTAGGGTGGTGGTGTAGTTATTAGGAGGGATTGAAATATCTTTAGGAACATCAACCACTGTGGGTGAACTTAATAAATAATGTAAATGGTATTTCTCTTACATGTTAAGTCAGTAAATAATGAGTTCTCTCTTTGTGCCAGGCATTGTTCTAGGTGCTGGAGATACATAAGTTTCCAAAAAAAAAGAAAAACCCTTTCTTTGTGGAGATGAAAATTCATTAAAATCATACCAAAGTTATGTATTTCATCATCATCCATTTTAGTAATTAAATGAAACAAAAATATAAGTATTATCATGTAAAACTTTGCTCTTTAAAATGAGTCTTTACTCTGGACCTATCTGGAAACCACTGGTAATATTTAAATGATAGCAAGGACATGATCCATTAGATCGGAGGAATTTTGGGTTCTGTCAAATCCAAGCAGGGACTTGCAATATCTGGGTCACAGAGCAAATACTTGGCAATCTCCATGGGTAATCCCACTCCTACCTTACATGTATCTCTGTGTAGATTATGATGATTACTTAAGTAAGTTAGGGTTATAATTTCATTGATGATAAAGATGAGGACTAACGATCAAGGTCAAAGGCAGGGAGGTGGGTTACTTTATTTCTTGCTAACCCTTTGACTCTTAAGACTCTAGGAGGTCCTTTCCAAAGTTCTCACAGAGGAGTGAACCCTTTGTTCAAACAAGGAGCGGTCGCATTTAATCCATGGCTCAGATGGTAAAGAATCTGCCTGCAAAGCCGGAGACCCAGGTTTAATTCCTGGGTCGGGAAGATCCGCTGGAGAAGGAAATGGCTACCCACTCCAGTATTCTTGCCTGGAGAATCCCATGGATTGGGGAACCTGGCGGGCTACAGTCCATGTGGTCCTAAAGAGTCGAACACGACTGACTGACTAATACTCATATGATCTTTAACTTCAGTCCTCCGGGATCTCCAGGAGAGGAACTCTATAGGCTTCATAATAGCTTGTTTAACCAAAAGCTTCATATTCCAATAAGTTAGGTGCCAGGAAGGTAGCGTTTGGTCTTTCTCGTCACATCCTCGTCTTCACTGCACGAGTTCAGATTCATCGTTCCCTTTGGTAATTCTTCCCGGTCCTCGCAAGGGTATCACCCTCTCCATATGGTAGATGGGGAAATGAAGGAAGTCTGCACCTTGGCCTTGGAAGGGCCTTGAAAGGTTCTGCATCGCTCTTTGCACCTCGCTTCATTGTTTCCTCACTCCTTTTGACACCGTGCCGGTGGCTTTGACTCCCCCTTTTCTCTTTCGCTTCCCTTTCCGAAGCCCCCCACCCAAACTTCCCACAAATTGTGGCCATTGAACTACATTTCCCATAATGCCCCGCGCCGACCGGCGTCGGTGGGGTGTCCCCTGAGCTGCCAGTTGTAATTATTGTCGGGCTAAAGCCACGTTTCCGGGGAAAAGCCAAGCTATTGTCCACTTCTTCGTTAAGAAGCCTTTTTCTTCTCTACCTGCGAGGACCAATGTTGGGTGAAGAGGCCTCTGTGGAGGTAAATTCATACCGGCGAACGCTCTGGCCACGCGTTTCCTCCTCGCTCCTCGGCCCCCGCCAGGTTCCCCGGGGGCCTGGGAGTGTCATTGGCGGATGACCGCAGCCCTCGCTGCTGCCCGTGCCGCTGCGACCATGGCCTCTGGCGGCAGCGGCCTCGCCGCCGCCCGCCTCCTGTCCCGCGCCTTCCTCTGTGAGTCCGGCCGGGACTCTGTCCTCCAAGCCCCCTCGAGTTCCCGGCTTCACCTGGCCCAGCGCCCCGGTCCAGGCCGCTGCTGGGCCCTCCGGGGCGGGACCTCGGCGGGGGCCCCAAGCTTGGGACCCTCGGGGACGGAGGAAGCTTTGCTCGTTATGTGGGGCGGGAACCTGTTGGGCTGCTGGCGAGTGGGGAAGTAGAGCGACTCAGCCAGGATTCGGGTCTGGGAGCACTGCAGACGTGGTGTCTGGATCTTGCACGCCCTTGATTCTCCGGTGATGAGTGGGGGATGGGGGCGGCATCTGGACAGGATCTTCAGGAAAGTGACAAGTGATGTGGCCCAGGATGAAGTCTCTGGGAGGGTGAGTGGGTTGAGAAGTACGGGCAGGGAATCGGTAGGAAATTGGAGAGTCAGGCTGAGCCTTGTACCGGACGGTCCTATACTTTAAATTGTCCTTTCCTTAGACTGTAAGGTGAATCTGCAGGAGAATGCATTTAGAGTCAGCACAGCCCAGAAAACTGCAAGCTTAGGGTTGGCTAGGACCTTAACCAACTTACTTGTAGTGTCTCCACCAGGAAGTGTGAATTTTTCAGTTCCTGAAAACTTAACACCCAAGGTTGATAATAACGCTGACTGTTGAAAATTCTTGCTATGTTCAAAGTCTCTGTGTTTGTTAGGTAGGTTGTGTAGGAAAAGACTTTGGAATCAGCCACATCAGCGTTTGAAGTCTGCCTGGTTCTGTACAGTCTAGGTAATAACTCTGGGGGGTGTTTCTACATCTGTTTCTCAATTTCTGTTCACGTTCCATGAAATCATTACCATATTTTAGTCAGTCTGAGACACTGTCACTTGTAAGATGTACTGCTCTTTTGTCTGCCACTAACAGTGGGAAATGATTGCTAATTAAAACTGTGACACACCATTGGTTGTCAGTCTCATCCTGATTTAAGAAATGTAAAAAAAGAAAAATTGAAAAAAAAATGCATTCTAAAAATGATGAAGTCCAGGACTCACCATGCAGAATAAAGGGAACAATTTATATAAAGCACCTTGGATGAAATAGGTACTCAACCAAAGTTAGTTTTTTTCTAACTTCCTTTTTTCTGCTTTGCTCTTAGTTCTGCTGCTGGTACTGAATATTGGATGAGATGATTCATTTCTTGAGAAAATTACATTTTAAAAGTGTACAACAATGATTGTACACTCTGTTGCTACAGTTAGCTACCAGATCACCTAAGAACAAACCTTGGCAAGTAGGAAGAAGTTTGGTTTCTTTGGAAGAGTTTTCTGGAGATTTTTATTACATAATTTAAAGGATAATCAAGGATATTGTAGGCAGAAAGAAGAAAGGAATTAGTTATACCCATGTCTTTCTTGCTTTTCTGAGTTTCTGAAAAATCCTTACTTCAGATAGGTTTGCTGTCTTAGGAGAAGAGTCTATAGAAGAAAGTGTCTGAAAGATTAAAATCTTGAATCCACCCTTAGCGATACTTAACGAACCTGTTCTCACAGAGCTTGAGCTTCTTTATTCTTTATTCCTAGACTTCGGTATCCTGAGGCCTTAAGAGGTCATCTAGTTTAGCTTCCTGTTGCTGGCATGGCCTTGAATTATCCTAGTCATGTGATTACCTTGTCACTAAAGGTCTGAGATCTAAACCAAGGTATCTTTTATATTAGAGAGGTTACAAATAACGGGGTTGATGTTTAAGAACCTCTGAATCTCCCACATCTTTTCTCATGTCACATTCCTAAGCCCATTTCCGCTCTCACTAGAAAAATCACAGCCACAACAATAGCACCTTGCAAACTTTTTTTAAAAGACAGTCACAAATTATTTAGGCTCTGAGGTTAGTAGTAGAACTAGAGTTACTGTGGAGTTTTGTCCCCTTTATTCTCTTAAGTTTAATGCACATTTTGTGCTGAAGGTCGTAAGTGTTGCAATGTTGATTTGAGTTAGGAAAAAACTCCACAAATGGTTTTCGATGCCTCTGGGAGACCTGATGAGGGCAGCCTAGAATATTTAGAAATTCTTGAGCCAACAGAACAGTCCTTAGGAAAAGAGAGAAAGAACTCAGTTGAAATGGGAGAGAAAGTAAAATGAAAAATAAGAAGGATTTCTTCCATGAGAATGCTTAAGGATTTTATTAGCACCTTTGAAATTGAAATAGTGAAAGATTTCAAGAAGTATGAGGTAGTGCAAAATTGTTTTAAACACACGCCAGTAGTTCCTATAAGTTGGGTCTTTGAGAAGTAAATAGAGAGCAAGAGCTAGTATTTTTTATCTTTACTGTGGTATAATTGACACGAAACATATTAGTTTTAGGTATACAACCTAATATTTTGATATTTGTATATATTGTGATGTCTCTCTACTGTGATATATGTCTATCACCATGCATAATTTCCCATTTTTGTTTCTTGTGATGAGAACTTTTTAGCTACTTTCAAATGTGCAATATAGTATTATCAACTGTAGTCACCATGCTCTACATTACATTTCTTGACTTATTTTATAAGTGGAAATTTGTGTCTTTCCTCATTTGCCCTTTCACCTTCCAACTCTGGCAGCACCAGTCTGTTTACCTGTGAACTCAGGTTTTGTGTCTGTTTTTTTTTTTTTTTTAAGATTCCGCATATAATTGAGATCATCTGGTATTTGTCTTTCTCTGTCTGATTTATTTTACTTTGTGTAATGCCCCCCAGGTCCATGTGTGTTGTCACAAATGGCAAGACTTTCTTTTTTATGGCTGAGTAATATTACATATTGTGTGTCTGTGTGTGCATATTAACATATATACCACGTTTTCTTTATCCACTCTTCTGTTGATGGACAATTAGGCTGTTTGCATATCCTGGTAATTGTAAACAGTACTGCAGTGAATATGGGGCTTCCTTTCAGTTTAGTGTTTTCGTTTCCTTCAGGTAAATACTTGGAAGTGGAATTGCTGGGTCATATGACAGTTCTGTTTTTAATATTTTGAGGAGCCTCGATTGTGTTTTCCATAGTGTCTGCACCAATATCCTTCCTACTAAAGGCACACAAGGGTTCCCTTTCTCCAGATTCTCCTCACCACTTATTATTTCTTGTCTTTTTGGTGATAGCCACTGTAACGGGTGAGGTGAAGTCTCACTATGGTTTTGGTTTGTGTGTTTCCCAGACAATTAGTGATGTTGAACTCCTCTTCACGTTACCTGTTGGCCATCTGTATATATTCTTTGGAAAAATGTGTATTTAAGAGCCAGTATTTTTGAACTTCAGAAGTAAGGCGTTTTGATGCCAAAAAGTGAACCTTACAGCCAAACTGGTCCCATTCCTTTGTTTGGCAAATATGGAAATAAACCCCAAATGTTTCCTCGCTAGTATCAGAATAGGTACTAGAGCTGAGGTCTTTTGACTCTGCAGCATCCTTTCTACTACATGCTTGCTGGGTGATACAGTGAGCCTCCTTTTTTTGAAGTTCTGATTTTTCTTTTTCTTTGGCAACCTCACTGGTTTGTTGAGGAGGTTACTACTCTGCTCAGAGGTGTCATCTGCCTTTTCCACGTGTTTGCCAAGTTGTACAGTCCTGTTTTGGGAATTGGGAAGATATTTAGAAGTGTAGTTTGGAAAAGGGGACCCTCAACAGTGGTGTTTCTGATAACTAGTACCTGTTGTCATTGCATCTAAGAACCAAATCTTTATTTCAGAAATATAGAATGGCCTTGATCTCAATCTATCAATGTGGCCATGAGAAGGTGACTTGATTATCTGACCTCAAACTTGTTTTTCCATAAAAACTTAGTTGGGAATATTAAAAGTAATTTTCCAAATATAGGGGAAGAATATAATTTCCACCAAAGGCAGGCATTTTGTTGTCATAAACCCACATTTTTTAATATTATATTAATAACATTCCTAAAATTGGGATGTCTTATAATTGATGATATCTTACAGTAAATTGGCAGCATTTTCTTCACACTGGTTCTTAATAGTGCTTTTTTTTTTTTAATAGTGCTTCTTAAAATCAGTAGTGTTTTAGATTTGATGAAATATAGTACTTAGAGCCCATTATGCTTCATCTGTAAGTAAATACTACATGAATATATAATTTCACATCTGAATAGTAGATTGGGGTTTAGAAGTAAGTGGCTGCTGAGCTACTCTTTAAGGCCCTCTAGGTAGGGACCCCAATAGTCTGCACGTTATAGATGCATAATACATATGATTAGTAAGTAGACATTTGTTAAAATCAGGAATACATACCTGATTAAATGAGCAACAAGAGCATAGTTTGAGAGAGCAGTTGGAGTGGGAGTATTTTCATGAATAGTCTCAGGCTACTGGTTAGGAGCACAGTACTGGTCACACACCAGTGACCAGCGCCATCCGTGGTCTTAGTCCAATGTGGGCAGCTGCTTTTGGCCACACTTGCATGCACACAGCAGCCATCTTGTGGATGGTGTGGTCACTCTGAGGGGGAGAGAACTCGCATGTGGCTGGCTGATACACATTTTTTTCGGATTACTTAGTCTCTTTCGTTCATAGCCTTTATTGCAGTTGGCACTGTTGGGGTTTTATGTTTCTTTGTGTAATGTTTATATCTCAGGAAGCTTCAAGTGGGCCTCAGTCTGTCTTGTTACCCCTGAATCTCTAGTGTCTGGGAGAGAGCCTGTCACAATGAATATCTCAAAGCAGTTTGGTCTTTTCATTCTATGTCAGTAATAAATAGCTAGTAGTGAAATCACACTTTCTCTACCCTAGTTATTATGCCGCATGCTCTCTATATTATTATCTCATCTATTCTCATGTTGCCTGTGAGGTGCATAATTTTATCCCCATTTTTACAGTACGGCTGCATCTTTAAAAATATTTCAGATGCTAAAAATTTACTAGTACATGTCTGCCTACTGAATGTTTTATGTAGACATGGATTAGTATATTTACATATAAGCATATATAGGTTATGCATGAGAATGTAAAACCCTTCTGATTTATTTGATTTTAAAATATGAATTG